CGTATTTATTTATTTTCTCCAAGTTTGTTTATAATTTTAAACCGTTTGTTTAATCATTTTAAGATTGGCTTTAATCAATGTTTGAAAATGAATCCTTCATATATGATAAATGAGAGGTAACATTTTATTTATGGTATTATTTCCACATATTTCTCTCCATTCTTCCTTCTGCCAACGGTGTCGCAGTTTCTCGTCTCTCCCGTGTTTGTGCTTAGTGCGTACGCATGGGTTAGAGTTTGCGTGGAAGACCGCAGATTTTCCCGTCAAGTTAGTATTTTATAAATCGCAAACATTGCGTAAACTGGCGTACGTCATTTTTTGAGCGTATATCCCTTTATAAATGAGGCCCCAGGAGTTCAATCTGGATTGAGGAAGTGAACAAAGCAATTAAAAATAAACAAATGACCATTTATTTTCTTTGTCTGGCTTATTATAAAAGGTCTGACTCAGATGTGACCTGTATCTTACCCTTAATGAATTCAGTAAACCCTTCCCCTAACGCTAACCAGGGCAAAGGATTTATCCTAACCTAAACAAAATGATTAACTCAAACCTAACGATGCTAACAGGACCTTACATTAACCAAAGTAATTAAACTTTATATCAACATAGAAAACACTGACCGTAAATGTAACAGGAGTGGTTCAAAGGCAAAAGTCACAGATATGCTGTCAAAATTTGAATTTGAATTTGTTGAAACATTATATTATACATTATGTCATACATACCCGATACAACTATGTTGGTTATGAACTCTCCAAGATTTTAATATAAATATCAGTTTCCATTTGTTTAGCTTCTCCTCAGTAAAAAAAACATTCATTTTGCAACCTTTCCAAGTTTTAAATGTTGACCTTTTTTTGTCAAATTCTTGCCAGGGGGTGTAGGAGATGTCAATACTACAGCTCCTTCCTTTAAGCAGTAGTAGGAGTATACTAGGTTTGTTAAAGCACTGGGTTTTTAACAACCTGTTTTCAGTTGTAAAATGACTACCCACAAGGCCAATTGTTGTGATCACTTGAGTTTTGTTAATAAACAGTTAGGATAAAGTACAAGTACAATGAAAAAGTTTAAACAGCACCAGTTTTGTAAACTGGGAGGAACTCAATTCTCACCGATCCACCCAAGGTCAAAATAAGGGACAATTCCCAAAATACCAAAAGTACAATGTAAGTCTTTGATTGGGCTACTAACATAATGTTCCTCTAATGGACTCTGATCAGGATTTCCTGCTGTGAAATGTTTTCCCTGCTAACAACATTACTCTAACGTGGTAATGCTGCTGCTGATAAGACACCACTCTTTAAAGAAAGCTTTGCTCAAAGCCACCTGTTTCTTTGTCTACCCTTTAACCTTTTAATACACTGTCCTTATGCTAGGACACATTGTTTGGACACTGGACAACGTTTGCAAAACATTCAAATGTACAATAGAAGGGATTGCAAATATAAAAACAACTTTTTAACTGAAGAGTAATATTCCATTTTAATTTATCCTGTATTATGTATTGTTCTTTTTGTATTTCTAAATGTTTTTAATGTATTTCTTTTTTGTGTATTTGTGAAAATGTTTTTGTATCCATTAATTGTGTGTTATTATTGTTTATCTTTTAATATAGTAAGTTATTTAATTAAATTTTTTCTGATGCTTGCATTTTATTTACTTATTGACCCTGTTTTTTACAGTAAAATGTATTTATGTATGTCGTTGTTAGGAAGCAGCCACTTAGTGGAGGCTAATGGGGATCCAAATTATGACATTCAGTCATCACTATCTTTCTAAACATGATTCTGTCACAAAACGTTCCTCATATATTTGTTTCAAAGATACACTTTTCTACTTCATTTATTAATTTAATACCGTCCACAACATTTTGGTTTCACACATATGTGTAATGCGTCTGTCTTCTGGATCATTCAGAAACTGCATATTGTCTGACCATCAGTCTGAATGTATTACTATTTTAAGTCTTCTGCGAATGCTCAAGACACTGCAACTGTTCAGATAGCTGGAGCTGACATTGACCTACCAGGGAAGCATTAACCTGGTCAAGAAAGGTCCTAATCTGGATGAGTGGAGGCAGGGTTAACTCCTCTAATGACAGGCCAAAAGATTAACTGAATGCTCAAAATATTTATTTTTCCCTCACCTAACGACCTCAGATCAGTTAAAACAGTAAATAAGCAGGCTTTAAAGTAAATAAGCAAATCAAGGATCATACTGTTCCTCCCAAAGGGGATAACTTTAACTGAAGTACAGTCCCAATTCATGCCTTGTTCTGGTTGATAATAATAGTCCCTATTTCTGACTCCTGCGGTATCCTGTCATTCTTTATAGAATTTCCTTTTGGCACTGGATAAATGTTTAAAGTCCTTTAAAATTACACAAATATCCTTTTCTTAACTAGCTCACACACAATTGTCATGAGCCAGTACGTCCACGACTGTACAAGATACAACAGTTTGAGCTTTTCTTCACATTTCCGGTCATGTTAGTCATATGACACATCTCTCAGTCTTTTACCCTCCCTTTTCATCATTCCCCTGTCTTCCCCTGCTGCTCACCATCCCCCTTTCCCCTGTAAGCTGACACAGCGCCTTGAAACATTAGCCGCTTTCCTCCTAATAGGATCTCTTGGGCTTACATTGTCATCTGATAAAATTAAAGAGCTTGCTAGCTATGCTGCACCCTCTTAACCAATTTGTACTCAATTAGGCTAATGGGGAAACAAGCAAAGAGGGACAGCTTTAATATATTAATGTGATAAAATCATTATCAATTTCCTTTGCACACGACTAGCGGTATTAGGAGCATCATGCAAGTCTTAACTGAAGTCTCTAGTTAATATTAGCCAATAATACGGTCGGCCAAACAGAAAAGGACATCAACAAATATGTAACTATAGCTTTTTTTAAATTGCATCTTCGTGCAATTAAGTTGTACGTTGGGTTACAGATTTCTCAAAAGTCCCAGAAATGCCTCTCCCTCGTTTCTAAATCTCCCACAACGGATCTGCGAATATGTTTTTATCAGGCCCGACCTGCCCACATCACAAACTCATAGATCTTTCAAACTGACCAGGTCTAGTTTAGAACGCAGGATTTCAGTTAAAAAAGGGATATACTATTTGCTTATGAAGTCTGCAAATGTTTTACTTTATAGTTCAGATATCTTTCAATGCATGAATGCATCTAACACTGGTTAGACAGTATACTGTACTAACTGTAATAAAAAAGATTACTATTTTATTTCAATGTTAACACAGTTGAATTTGCCTTAGTGCAGCTCTTAAAACGAAAAAGCCAAAAAAAATAACAGATAAGTAGTTTGTACTAATTATTAGCTACCGATAACACACTTAAAATGTTGGTCAACAAAATTAGTGTTATACAGGAAAGAAATGTATTTGCTGCATACCGTTCTTTACTGAATGAACTGAATCACTCACAGTCAAATCTTCTCCTTTGGCCAATCAATCAATAAATCGCATTGACTGTTTTAAGGTATCAGCTTATAAAGGCAATTAATGTTGCTTTCAATGTTTGCCTAGCTAGAAGAAAATTCAGAAAATGCAAAATATTTATAAATATTGAAAACTGGATAAGTAAATATTCATTTATTAATCAACTTTATAAACACTATTTTACATCAAATTACTTTTTAGCCAATCCCTGCCAGAAGGACGATTTCCTTATTTCATTTATTGAGTGGTAAAGCCTGGCCCTCACCGGCAAAATGAATGGGCTTTGCAGCCTCTCCTTTCTGGCAAAACAAACTTGACAACCAAGAAAAGATGTTTAGCCAAAGCCACTTAACTTACAGCCATTCTGATCACAGGAACCATTGGCAATGCAGCCCGATGTTGCCAGATGGCTTTAAACTTGTTAGCATTGTAATGTCCTCAGCTGCTTAGGCATGTGCCAATCATTAACACAAGAGCTGCATTTCTGTGCATCTCTGTGACTCCAAGCTGAAGGTGCGTCAATGGATTGAGGCTTGGGTCTATAGAAAGTGTCAAAAGGTAATGCAAAACCTCTCATTCATCTTTAGAATTTAATTGACTGCTGGTACCATAACAAAGTTATGCGAATATGAACATCTTGTACTTCTATTGTCTTACGTGCAAAGAACTCCTAAATATATCTTCTGATAGGAAGAGTGAGGTCAGAGGAAATCTCTAGTGAAGTCTTAAGACTCATTAAGGATATGATTGATCTCTGCAACACCTACTCAGGCTGCCACAGCTTTGGTTGTGCCAGATGGCAGAGGAGAAACTTACAGGCTGCAGGATAAAATGCCCATGATGCCCCAACCCAATTCTACTTTGAACCATCAGAGGCTGAGGAAAAATACTATTTGGCAAAACAGGCCAAGTATTTTTTTGACAAACAAAAACAATTTGGTTGGATGTCACAAATAAAAATGTTGAAAGGATAATAAAGACTGGGTTCAAACTGTGTTTAAATTAATTAGTTTAAATTAAATAGGACTGTATTTTGTTACTTTGTTACTTGTAAGTCCCCCTAACACAGACAACACATTTTTATCATCAGACTATAATTACTATAATATAGTTCAATGTATTAGTTGTGTATTAACACACAATTCACTTTTTTGCTTTATTTTATTTTATAAATAATGCCAGCTATTCCAAAAGCAGAGTTAAGTGCCTACTTGAATGAAACTATTTTATTAATACAAGTCTTTACAGTTTGTAGCCATTCAAGTTAAAAGTCCATCTCTGTGTCTTTTCTCCCTTACATTGTCTATAATGAAGGGATTAGGGAAAACTCTCAGTACGAGCCATTATCTTTCAGACAATAGATTATTTGAAAGAAAGTTTTGTCGAGGCTTCATTAGCAATGGCCTCCCTCTGTGGTCTGAAAGCAGGACACATTTGGAGCAATTACTTGACCAGAAAACAACTGTCAGTCATTCTTAAAGGGGAAGGATTCCAATTAATAAACCTCTTAAACCCTTTGGTTTTACTACCATTCCCCCGCAGGCTTTGGTGTCTTGTGTGGTTAAGGGGAGTTTTGTCAGGAGAGAAAGACATTACATGTGCTTGTTGCACAGGGCTCCAACGGTAGGTCCTTTGCTCACTTGTGTGCAGGGGATTTCAAGGACTTAACTGCCAAGCGCCTACAGTAGATATTGTTAGTGTCATTTGTCTATGGACTACAGAGACACCATGTCTGTAGCGTAGTCGATGGTAGGATTCTGAAAGAAGGTAAGATAACTTTTATACTTCATTACATTCATAATGAAGAGGTGTAAATATTGTCCAAGAGCAGGTTGCTTTTTTGTGCATCAACACAAGTTTATTGGTATTAAACTTAATAGGGTAATTTCTAACTGCATACATTTTTACAAAACTTTTCAAATGCTGAGGTTTTAAAATGTAAAAGATATGCAGTTGTGATTTAAACTTGATAGAGTTCGAAAACTTCTTCTAGACACAATTCACTTGACATTTTCCTTAGACTCACTTATTATTTATTTATTATGAATTATTGTTAAATCTATTTTTGCAACAAAACATTGCCTGCATGTAGTGACTATGTACGATCCTTATTATGTATTTTATACTAAGAGTATAACTTGGCGAAGCTTTTGAAGTGTTTTAGTTACATCTTGGTTCTTTTCTCTCATTCCTTTACAGACAAAGATGTGAGTTTGTTATGCTTTTGTGTAAACAATACAATCAGCCTCACCGAAGGATACAGCCCTCACGCTTCGCACAAGTCTGCTCCATCACAGCACAACAACTCTGTACAACTGCTCTGCTTTTTCTAACTTGGAAAGCAACATAGTGTCTCAAAAGGCTCGGATGCATTTGTCAATGGATACGCTCGGAATTGTGGACGATAGTTGCCTGGACAACTATGACATGGCCAAAGGTGCTGGATCAAGCAATGGTGGCAGGGTCCACAGTATTGATGTCATACTGGGATTCACTAAAGACCAGGACCCTTTACTCCATTCTGTAGGTGATGATGGCCAAAAAGCCAATGGAGAAAACCCACAGCATCCTCAGAAGCAGATCCCGTCGGACCCCTATAGGCACCTTTCAGAATTGGGTGACAGCTCCCAAAACTCTTCCTACCATGGTGAGTCTTTTGAGGAAAGAAGCGATCAGGCATGAACGCTCTCAAATACTTCCTTAGATCACTTTGAGGATTTTCTGCTCAACTGTATACAAATTGGAAATAGGGCTGTATTATCAAAAATGGTGTTGTTTGTGTCTCGCATGTCAAGTTTCGAACGCAATACCCCCACATGGTACATTACATGGTACATGGTACCCCCACTGCAGGCGTTTGTTAAGTATGGACATCTGGATGGGCCTTGTTGGAAATACAACCAAAATACAGTTCGAGGTGAAGAAGCCAGTGATATAAGCCTGATGCCAGACATCACTACCTATTGCTAATCAGCTAAACTGGAACGTAATCAATTATGTTTTTTTGTACATACATACGTTTTTTATTAACTTTTGATTAAACAACACCTGTATCTTAAAACAAATAAATCCATGTGATCGATATGATCCATTCAAATGCTTTGAACCTATTCACCGGCTGTAAGCTTAAAGCTATCAAATACAATATTTCTATATCCCATGTAATAATTTACTGACATGATGAAGCAGATAAAAAAATCAATAAAAAGACCACTTAGCCAACCCTGGAAAAAGTTTTAAAAAACAACAACACCTGACAGGTTCTGTATAATTATGGACACTTCCAATAGCAACACATATTTTCTCTCAGTTGCCATGAGTAAATGTGGCCATCTGTTACTTGGTTAACATTAAAAAGGTAATGTGCACCCTGTGTACAGCAGATTTGTAATAACCTAGAAACAGTAATTCACTGTCTGAGATAAGCTTCTTATGCAACGTTTGTTTCTCAAAAGCCAACATTTTGAATGGAAAAATGACATGAAAAAATACTATAGCTGCAACCGATGTGAACAGTACAGTAGCCACAACAGACAAAATCCAGTGGGTGAGCTACACCAGATTAATTCTGACCAGGAGCACAAAGGAATGGATAGAAGAGTACATTACAAGAAGTGATTTCTGTGTCTTTGGTTGTTTTGTTTTGTTGGTTCACTTCTGATAAGCTATATAGGCCTCATAGTCCCAGTCACTCACTAAAAAATCACAGTAAATAAATGTATTAAATATTAAATGCATTAAATTAACATGCCCGTCTCTATTAGACAAGAGAGGCCAATACCTAATATCTACATGTTTCCTCTTAGATGGTGTTAAAGGCTTTAAAGGATAGAGGGACAAGGGTGGTGCCTGCTTAGGGGAACCCTGTATTGTTTGCCTTAGGGTAGGTAGTGATATTTAGGGTGTAGGACATGACATGATTCTGGTTATGGTTTGATGAAAGATAACCTGAAGACTGGAATGTTGATACACAAATGATCTACAAACATGTCTGTATAATCAGGAGCCTCCATTCTCTGTAGTGACACATTTTGTATACTTATTTATCTGCAAGATTTGCATCTCCCATTATGGCATTAACTTATTGTGGCTATTAAAGGCAAAAATCCCAATCACCCATGTCATGTTGCACCATTTAATACAATGCTTTTAAGAAATTTGCCTTGAACACAAAGCTCTTTTTGACCAGACTACATTTTTTCTAACAAACAATCTGTTGACAATATTCTCTTACAATTTGGTAGGATTAGCCGGGTGCATCACACACATAATTTACTTCAAATCAATTTTTTTAAAAGACGGAATCTGGACTTTGACAGTTTAAATCCCTTTTTAGATTAGAGGAGGCGGGGACTTGCAGGTTTAACTGGAAGCATCTGTTACTATGGGATTACTGAGAGGGAAGAATTCAGTGAAAGATGTGATATTATTTCGACTTGCCAAACCCCTGGTGTCCATTAAGCTGTTTTATCATGAGAAGAGTTAAGATTTCACTTTTTAAACAGGCTGTATGTTACAATGTGATATTCGAATGTTGATAATGATTTTTTTTTATTCTTGGGACATATTTTTGTCTTCAAACAAGAAAAGACAAGTATTACGAATTCATTATTTATTTGATATCAAATAAACGAAGGAGTAGTCTCCGGGATGGATGAAATGGGAGACACCTTTTTTGGAAATGAAGTGTAAAATGATCCATGCTCATTCAGATATTGCATTGCTAACTATGTTTCTGCCTTTGGATGTTTCTAAAAAACAACTTTTTTAAATTTGTTATCTGAGTTTTGAGGTGTAAACTGTTAAAGATTTACCGATATGTTATTACTACTGACTTGGTAGTTATAGGTAGGATAGTGCACACAACGAATTGTCCCTAAAATTATGAACTGGCTACAAATCTTACTATTCGTATTTTGTCCTTAATTTTAGAATCAGACATTTTCTCCGCTGACAAATGTGATGAAGAAATGAGCAGTCTGCAGAAGGAAGTGGATGTTGCTGAAGAGGCCATTACAGAGGAAGAGCGCACTAAAAAGAAACACAGAAGAAACCGTACTACCTTCACCACCTATCAGCTTCATGAGCTGGAGCGAGCATTCGAGAAGTCCCACTACCCAGACGTCTATAGTCGGGAGGAGTTGGCAATGAAGGTTAACTTGCCAGAGGTTCGAGTTCAGGTAACTAAGTGATATCCAAATAGTTTCCCGTGGTCTTGGTACACAGCCTGTGCTTTAATTTATAATGTAATTATTCTATCATTTGTTTGGATATTTCCTTTTACACAAAAAAAAAGAGTAGAAAAACAGTTGTCCAGTTTAGGAATGATGGAGATTTATCTAGAACACTTCTAATTGAGCCATTACCCTATCCTCAAATTAGGTTTTGCTAAGGTTATCTAAATATGATCAAATCTACTGTTTGTTGCTAAAATTTATTTAAAAGTTTCTGCAATCCTATACCACCTTTAGGAGGTACATAGTTTAATTCTATTGAAGCATATTCTCATAGCATCTTCTCAATTTCCATGGTCCAGGTGTGGTTCCAAAACCGGAGAGCCAAGTGGAGACGACAAGAAAAGATGGATACTAGCACCATGAAGCTTCACGACTCACCCATGCTATCCTTCAATCGTCCTCCGATGCCTCCCAGTGTGGGGCCAATGTCCAACCCGATGCCCCTAGATCCCTGGCTGACCTCACCCATGTCCAGTGCCACACCCATGCATACCATCCCAGGGTTCATGGGTTCACCGCAGGGCCTGCAGCAGGCCTATTCAAGTCACAGCTTCCTCAACACCCCACCTGGTATGGTCCAAGGTATGCAGCCAATGGGCCCTCCCCCCTACCAGTGCCCGCCCAGCTTCAACGATAAATACCCGATGGAGGACGAAAGGAGTTCCAGCATCGCAGCACTCAGGATGAAGGCCAAAGAGCACCTTCAGTCAATGGATAAAACCTGGCAGCACATGTGAGGCACTTTGGAAGGATTTTTGAGCTGTTTCCCGTGAATGTTTACAAACTTATTTTTCACTGATTATTTCCTGTATCTACGTATGACGACGATACATGGCACCAAATGAGTCAGACATAATTTCACTGATGCTAATAAGCAACTCTAAAAAAAAGAAATCATGATTGATTCTCTGGGGGCCCTTTTTTGATTTAGCTCGAAGGTTTTTGGAAATGACTCTTATTTAGAGAAAATCCTCAATATGAATGTTTTTACACTTTGGTTTGAACATTTTACTGCTCTCCTGAGAGAATATCTTTGTGGAGATAACTGAGCTCTGTGCTTTGGGCATTTTCTGGTATCTAGATCCTAGAACTAGACAATTGTAGTATACAGATGGATGGTTCAAAGAGGGGTTTCTCTGTGTATATCTTTCGGTTGGGTTTTCTCCATGATATTCAAACTATTTTAAAAAAAAAGTCTATAGGCTGTCCAGCATATTCTACTATATTTTCAGCTCATTTGAAAGTTGGCAGACAATTTTATTCAAAGCAATTCTCCCACTTAATTCTATTAAGCGATATGCGTGTGTGTGATTTAAATCATTAAACTGGCCTTTTGAAGAGCATTGAGCCCTGATGGGGTAGGTTATCGGAAGTCACAGAGCGTAATCTGGCTCAGAAGCTAATTTAGACAGACAAGCATACCTCTTAACACCTAATTACTGCTTTTAAAGCGATTAACCCCGGATTCTCAGCCATAGACAAAATGCCCTCAGTTGCCCCTGAAAAAAACTTTTTCAAGACCTGATTATCTTTGCCCCTCCCCTTCCCTCAAACTTGACAATTTATATATTTACTGATACGGCACAACATATTGATGTTGTTTTTTGTTATGCCCTGTCTTAATGTTCATCTTATTTGTAAAGGAGGCTTTTCATTGCATTGTTGACAAAATATTCCCTAAAGACAGGTGGATTATGAGTGAGAGAGTTAATAGGTGCTGGCAGCCTCTCTTACCATTGGATGTAGCATTGTTTTATATAACTGTTGGACCACAACAAGAAGGAAATTACGTTACATTAACCTTTATCAGAGACGTAATGATAATATTGCTTGTGTGTTTTACACAGTACAGTATGTTGGCATTTGGTGTGTGTGCATTGAAATAAAGCAAAAAGGTGCTTTACTAGTAAATAATTTCCTCCTGCTTTGGAAAGGCAATAAAAACATGCAATTAAATGGAATCAATGGAAGAACGACTTGTAATGCATTTTACCAATGCTGTCCACTATTTGGAAAAATAAGGTGCCATCAAGTTTTATCTAGTGCTGGCAATGAAAATATGTGTACACCACAATGAAGTGTAAGGAAAAGTCCTCCTTTAAATCACTCTAAAACATAATGTGTCCATCATGGCCTTTAGAAATGGCAACACCCACATTGTCAGTTTTATAGGTTTTGTTTTTTATATTGTTACAATCCCTGTTGACAACAGTGGACTAAAAGGCCAAAGACGACATTAATAAATGTGAGGATGTTTATTATGTTTAAAAAAAAAATTTCATCAGTTAAGTATTTTCTAGTACTTTTGAGTTTAAAGAATGTGTTTTTCATTTAACATGTGCAAAATACAGAATAAAGTTACTGTAGCACCACTGTAGAATAACGTTGATGGTGGATCTTGTATTTCTTTCTACGCATGCATTAATGAGCCACCAACATGACTTAGTGCCGTTAATGAGCGCTGGTGTACAAAAGGCCATGTAAGCTGTGACAGAACGAGCTGGCCTGATGGAGGCCTGTTGTGTTCGTCCAAGCCTGTGGAGCTTTGCCAGGCCGTTAGGCAGATGAAGCTCCACTTCATCAGGCCCAACCAGGGGTGTCAGGAGGCCCCGCCCGCTAGGCTGCAGAGGCCACAAGGGCTCGAGTTCTAATTGCCCTCCGGTAGCGTGTGTTCAGCTGCACTAATTTATTTTGGATGGCAGTTTGTAAAAAGGACTGTTTTGCATCCCAGCACTTTTCAACAATGTAGCACCCAGTCAACCTAAACGAAAAAGCCAACATCAGGGTGGGAGATTTTTTAATTCATAAATAAATAAATGCTTGTGTCAACTCACAAAATGGCTTAATGAAGTGTTCATGGGTCTGCATATTCAAAGGAACAATGGTGTGCAAGGATTTGTTTATTTTATTTGAAAATATATATTTCATGTTAAATATATATAAGGAATACTCTTGGCTTAGTAGAGACTCAGATAGATAATAATAAAAACAATTAAACCTAGGTTTTACCAAATTATATAGGCCTCTTAGCATCTCTGCATTATAACAATAATGGAGCCACAATAGCTAGGTAGGGAATTTGCATAATATATTAGTGGTAAGTATGAAGATGAAAAAACTTAAAGTGAATACACTATATTACGTGACAATCCTTTCTCACCACACCTTTGTCAGAAAGACTTAATGTTGCAACACCCAGAATTTGCTAGAGACACTTTCAGAACTAGTGTTTAATTACGCACATTATTATGTTATTTTGCTTGGCCAAGCGTGACCTTTGCTGGGGCCCGGGCTCTAGTTAACAGGCTGACTAGCGGGACAGGGTCCACGGTGGAAATAATAAGGGTAAGGAGCGGAATTAATTGGGTTTGATTAAGAACACTTTTCAAAGGACACCATTTTCCCCCGTTGACATAATTGGGGATCATTTAGAGGGTGGGGGGATTTTGTTGGCTGGCGCCAGTTACTCGTCTTCGCCCCAGTGTTCCCTCTAGAAAAAAGGACATGTCACTCATAAAGCACCTCCTTCCTCGTCTGTCTTGTGCATAACATGCATCGGCACACATGTTAACCTTTTCGTTTTGCCAATCATTGCATTGACTACCATTCAGTCTCTTACTTTGTGTGTTCAGCATGTTTCAGCAAAGATCTCCGTTAGATCCAAAGTTGCAGTTAAAACATTGGGAGATTTTGTGCATTTTTTTTCTCTGATTCTTGCTTAGTTTGGTCTTTTGATCTGGCAACTGTAGTGTTTGAAAGGGGGTACCCAACGCAACCCTTTATTTTCTGTTCTACATGCTTGCCCACACAGCCTGAATGCACAGCTTGATTTGATTCTTAGCAACATCAAGCAAGCAATGCATTGCTTTAGAAAAGTACCTCCTATTGTCTAGTGGTTAGGGTTAAAACATAACTAACATGATGAATTAGAATTTGTTGCTGTAAAGTTTTGCAACGACTAGTTATTTTCTCTTCACCTTTCACCAATGGGAGATACCTGCATTCCAGTGCTGATCTGATTGTAGAGTTTATGGTGGTTGGCTTCCTTTCTTACTGTAGGTGTTTGGGCTTTATGGATTCATCTCTTGTCTTAACCTGTATACAAAATAAGCGTCAGTATTATCATCTCTTTTATTTAATAAAAAAAAAGGCAGCAAGATCAAATAGGAGACCCTTACTTTTCCTTGTATCACATAGCGGGATTGACATGATGGAATGGCAATAGAAACATGTCCAACTTGCCAGCTCTGTCCTCAGTAGATGTGTCCATATAGTTTGAAGCCACCAAGCTGCGTCAAATGTTGTGCATACAGGCATGGAGATGAATTGATTGCACTCGCTTAGTGTGGAAATTAATCAGTCTGACAATGCTGTTGACCATTGTTGTTGTTTATTCAGTTTTAGTTGAGACTTCTAGAGAGATGTACACATTAGGTTTTTTAATGTGCTTTTCAAGGACCAATTTTGGATCAATAGTGAATACTGGAATCATCTACCTGCACTGCAGAGTTGTGGGGTATCACTTTTCCATTGTCCCTCTCAGAACTCAGCTCTAAGAACCCCCCCTCTCCTGGAGAACTTGAAATGTTTTGGCTCTATGAAACCTGATATGATTATGTACTTATATGATTCTGTCTTCTTCAAGTTTGTATTTTCTTGGTCGAATGCACTTATTGTAAGTCCCTTTGGATAAAAGCGTCAGCTAAATGCAATGCAACAAAATAAATGTAATTTATGCGTGATAAAAAATAAAAAAAAGTATCAGTTTTTGATAGTAATGCAATGACTTACCAACAATTGATACTTTTCCAAGTGAAGCAACAGTGTGGTTGTGAACAGTTTGTAATAAACATTTAATTGATCTGCAACGTTTGAAAAGTCATTCATACTTCCTGACCAATACACAGATGTCCTGTTGAAGTGAGTGAAACAACTAGAAAAATAAAACTGGTAAGAATACATTTTGAAATATTTGACCTTAAAAATACTTTTATTTCCCCTTTAAGCAATGTCACACATTAACAAATACATGCAGCTATCTTATTATTTGATATCGCATAGCAGGGCGACTCCACGCATAATCCAGTGGTCTGGTGGCTGGAGGGTATGCAACACCACTGCTGTGATGTAATTCAGATCTGTGCGCCTTGGTTTCTTGTATATGGGGCAGATATACAGTTTGGGGTCCATGGGGGCAGTAGAGTTAATGGCAAACATGTGGATGACAGGCAGGGGTGTGAACAGCACTTTGGGTGAGGACTCGATGAGGTGGACGTTCTTCCTGTCCCAGCTGGCACCTTCCAGGTACAGACCATAGACATAGACTCCCTCCTGGTGAAGAGAAGCAGTCAGGGACAGAATTATCATCTCACATTTAAAGTGAGCAGACAATATGATCATACTTATTTTAATGTCTGACCAAGTTTATAATGAATGAAAGTGTAAGCTTAATTGAGAAATATATATCATCATCTCCATGCTTTTCCACTCACTGTAGGCGAGGCAGTGATCTCCTCCTGGGCCTGTTTCAGAACTTTGTTGTGCAGGTTTACCGTGTCCAGAGCCCAGCCTTTGTTTGCCCTCGTTACTTCTTGTCTCATAGCGGTTAGGAACCCTATACACATCCCACAGAAAATACATTATCTGATATAAATTCAACACCAGCTGAACACAGCACATTCACAGGGTGCAGGAATCCTGAAGTCAGATGTAATACCTTTTAAGACAGGGGTAGGGAACCTTTTTCCTCTCAAGGGCCTTTTTCTACATCCTCAGAGGGCCGTACAAATGATTGACCTCTGCTTAAAAGTACTAAAATCACAGCCCATTCATTTCGCCTTTCTTTCTTTCTTTTTTTTAAATAACTTTATTTGACTGTTATAGTATTTTATACCCGTTTACTTTATTCTCTTATTTTTTTATAACTATAATGATCATATAAAGATGTGCCTTCACCTCACTGGTTGTAGAAAAAGCTTCTTATGTCCGTTAGCATAGCTAGCTAACCAGATGCTAATAACAACAAAGTTATTGACTGTATGATCAGAATGACAGATGAACAGATCGCCACTGGGCTTTCAACTAAAGACACAGACACGCAGAAACTGCGGCATGTGTACGGACTTATGGGTACTGCAATTTTTGGAAGTGCTGGAGCAGCGTTCTGGTGCTCTCCGTCAGCACTGCACCCTTGTCAGACGAGACATATACCACATGATGACATGTTAGGCTCGTGTTGTGCTCAAGGACCCTGACCGTGGCCAGGAAAAACAGGCACTCGCTTGTCAAATTTTTTTGCGGTCCAGATTTCTTTTTTTTGTTGTCTTTTTTGTGTGTGTTACCTCGAGGGCCGTATCAAATTGTCTCGCGGGCCGTATACGGCCGGGGGCCGGAGGTTCCCCAACCCTGTTTTAAGACCTCATCGCCACTTTGAGTTTTAAACGGTTACATTGGTGACACACTTTACCTCACATTTACTATATACAGTATTGATTGTCCTTCCTCCTTATCTTCCAACCATTTGGACGCAAACTTGCATTTCCCCATAACGATGTTGTTTAACAACCGGCGTAAACGGACCTTTGCGCGCTATCAAGCAGTGAGCGTGCGATGTCCTGTTCAGATGAGGTCAAATCCAACAGGATGCCATCAATAAACTACACAGAATCACACTACACACCTACGCAATGATTACATTCAGGCAGACTTTAGAATACAACCTCTTTGGACCATTTATATACTTATTGAAAACAAGCTACAAAATGTAATACCTTGGAAAATGTTGTTTAATACTTTTTAATAGCCTTAATTTTCGCAAAATGTATTTATCAACTTGTAATACTTTTTAAGACCCCCTGATTTACCACAGTCAAACTTAACATGTTTCAATACATCTAATTAAATCTGTTGGAAAGTCTAATAATGAATACTTGACTCACCTTGCGGGTTGAAGAAACCTGTCATCCAAAAAGCTTTTGGTCTTCCTTCAAACACCCAGCTGTGAAATTGTTTGTTTCTCTCCAGAAGCTCTGTGTACCAGAAGCCCAGTGTGGAGGAATCCCAGGAGACTTTCCTCCACTGGTTTGGCACACGGGCATCAAAGATATTGTCCAGTGCATCACGGAGGTTCTAGGAGTCAAGTAGAGATCACTTTTACAGTAACTTACAGCCTCGTGATAATGAAAGCAAATTCATATTTTAAACAACATGTTTATAGGAATGTACTAGGGCTGTCCAAAATACAATTTTTAGGGCTCCGGATAATTGGTAGTAATCAGTAGGGGGGGGGTGGGGGTGCGTAGTAATCAGCAGCGAACTGCTTCAAGACGTGTATTTCGGTTTATTCACGGCATTCATTTTGTTATTCTACAGTATTGTTGTTTTATAGTTATTTGTTAATGTATATTACGGTGGCCCTGAAGTGCAAGACACCACAGCATTTCAGAAAACACAACAGCATTTCAGAAAACACTACAGCATTTCACAAAACGCCGCAGCATTTCACATTGGACGGAAAGGGTATTCCTTAGGGAGAACACTTCTTGTTTGTGATTGGACAGAGCCAGCCATAGAAGCACTGCTGTGATTGGTTGTTTTTGCTGCCAGTCAAGAAATGACGCTTCGTGATTGGCCCAACACATCAGCCGTTAGCTGTTAGCACACACTCAGAGCTCACAGCTCCTCATATCTGTTCAGAAACTGGACAAAAGTTAAACATATACAAAACACAGACTGTCTATGTCATGGCGAATACAGTCGCTGCTTTATTTATGTCTGTATGACGTTGTTGTGAGTGTGGACGGAGCAGCTACAGGTTAGTTTAGCCTGATCGATCCGATTCCGATAGGATTTACATGGAGATACGGCCCGCCCCCTCTCCAGCGTCTTGTTTGAATGACAGGAGTAAACACAGAATTAATGCTTTATTAATTCATGGTTTTTAAGGGGCTTATCTCCATGTAAATACTATGGTAGACCACCCAATATTCGCATCGCTCTAATCGCTCGAGTTTCACTGCGGCTGTCAACTGTGTTTGCTCCTGTCATTCAAACAAGAGGCGCTGGAGAGGGGGCGGGGCGTATCTCCATGTAAATCCTATGGGAGATACCAACTACAACAAAATGAACATATTTGACCGTGATTTAATTGTAATACACGTTTCAAAGTGATGCCGAAGTAACTACATACTGATAAGGGTTAGTAAAAACCATGAATTAACGCTTTGACAAGTCTGCAGATAAGACGGCAGGCGAAAAGCTTTTAAAATGCGTGTTTTCTGAATGGAATCGGATCCATCAGGCTAAACTAACCTGTTGCTGCTCCGTCCACACTCACAACAACGTCATACAGACATAAATAAAGCAGCGACTGTATTCGCCATGACATAGACAGTCTGTGGTTTGTACATGTTTAACTTTTGTCCAGTTTCTGGACAGATATGAGGAGCTGTGAGCTCTGATTGTGTGCTAACGGCTGATGTGTTGGGACATATTTCGCTGTCGGGTGTTGACCAATCACGAAGCGTCATTTCTTGACTGGCAGCAAAAACAACCAATCACAGCAGTGCTTCTCTGGCTGGCTCTGTCCAATCACAAACAAGAAGTGTTCTCCCTAAAGGAATACCCTTTCCGTCCAATGTGAAATGATGTTGTGTTTTCTGAAATGCTGTGGCGTTTTCTGAAATACTGCGGCGTTTTCTGAAATGCTGTAGTGTTTTGTGAAATGCTCTGGTGTTTTCTGAAATGCTGTAGCGTTTTGTGAAATGCTGTGGTGTTTTGTGAAATGCTGTAGTGTTTTCTGAAATGCTGTGGTGTCTTGCACTTCAGGGCCACCCAATTAACCCAATTTGTGTTCTTTGAAATTGAAAAGGATATTGCATTGTGTTTGTTACTTTTGTTGCAGTTGTATATGTCTTAAGTGTAATTTGGCTTGGCTTCCTATTTTGTATGGACATGCTTTTATTTTGAAGGAGTTAGCGCTGTTGACAGGAAGTTGTTGTTGCTATGGAAACAACGTGACGGAGATTAACGGAGAAAAGTCATATCTACATATAAAGACGGAGAAAGTAAACAATAAAGTTTATGGTTAAGTGTTAGCACCCCCCGAAGAGGCACAAGCTCTTACGTTGATATTGGAGATTTCAATAAATTCAATTTATTGAAAAAAAACGAAAAATAAATGAATAACGAAATTGAAACCCGAATAGGACTCCAACGAACGAATATTCGGGTACAGCCCTAGAATGTACTGAAGTTAATATTTAAAAAACAATCTGTATGTGAGAGTGATAAATGAGTGGTCTCACCTCGCTCATTATGATGGTACCATCAATGGCCAGCTTCAGGTCCGTCAGACTAATCCGCACCACACCGATGATCCTTTGCATTCGATCTACCTCTTGGCGTAGGAAGATGTTCATTGGGTTTAGAGCTCCCATCTTCAACAGTCTGGCTTTGACCTGAAACCAGTATAAGAATTGCACAATTTGGATTTGAGTAGGTGTATTAAAGTGGAGACTGCCACCCTAATAATAACAAATATAAGAAATCACCTCATGTGGCACATAATTGGGGGGCAGCTTCTCCAACATGTCTTCTGCCATGCTGTAAACAATGGACTCCCGAGTTGCTCCTGATCCTCCTCCGCTTTCCTTTGGCTGGATATTTGTAATTGTCTCTAGCACTTCAGCCGATGTGTTTGTCTGATACCTAGTGAGCATTAAACAAAGCAAAATGAAATGTTATTTATCATTTATACGTTAAAATGACACAATATAGGCATCATATCCTTGTCATTTATAGTTTTAGGACAATGTATTTCTTTACGTGATATCCGCATTAGGATGCAGCCCCAATGCCTGTGGGGAGT